CACTAAACTCAGCCTTAGAGTACTCTGCCCCACGCACCACAGAATAGGGATCTGCTGTTTCGTTGGCCCTACTTCTATTCTCTTGGCAGTTATTCTTCCTTCTCAGTATATTGATTCTCTTTGGAGAGAACCTCTTATCCCCACTCTCAATTCAAGTTTACAGTTGCCAAAATTAGCACATGACCCAGACCTTGCCATTCAGTATATTCCAACCATCTGCTTATGATGATGGCTCAGTCATGGGTATGTGACCCATGATAGACCAGGGACATCTGGGATTTTGTTGACCAGTTGAGAATAGATATGCTGTTGGTGTTGATATCCATAATGGTAAAGACAGTGTAAACCCAGAGCCTCTAGGAATCCCAGCATTGAGAGCACAAGTCTGTGGATGAAGTCTCAACAGAGGAGAGCATAATCAGGATGGGTATGGGAGAGACTAAGTCCAATAAGTTGCATTTAAATTCGTGGGTTTAGAACATGATCCCTAAAATTAGACCGGTACTAATAAATGCTGTGTGTGAACTTTGGCAAAGTTACTTAACTACTCAGCTTCCTATGTAGAGAGGGGATAATAATCACTGGATTTGAATGTGTTCCCCAAAGTTCAGGTGTTAGAAATTTGGTTTCTAATGCTGTAGTTTTGGGAAATGGTAGCCTAATTGGAGGTATGGGTCCTTCGGGCACTGCTCTTTCTTGTAAGTGGATTAATGCCATTATCATAGGAGTGGATTCATTATTGCAAAAGTAGGTTCCTATTAAAAGGTCAACAGCTCAGTCCCCCTTGCTTTCTCTCACCTTCTCTTTCCCCAAGAAAGACACAGCAAGAAGGTGCTCACAGGTTGACAGCCCCTCAATCTTAAACTTCCCTGTCTTTTGAACTATAAGAAAATAAGTTTTATTTTTATAAATTACCCATTCTGTAATATTCTATTATAACAGTACGAATGGACTAAAGCAATAATGTTACTTTAATTTGATCCTTAATGTGAAGACTAAATGAGACAGCCACATAAAAGAGCTTAGAACAGTACCTTTCACTAGTGACTGATCAATAAATGTTAGTCATAATTAATGCAGACAATTTTTACCCGTGGCTTTTGACTTATATACAGTCTAAAGAGTCTTTTTGCTCAAATTGGTTTAAGTTGGATTTCTTTCACTTGCAACCAAATGAGTCTTGTTTAATACAACTAATAGAAAGCATAGAGCTCCAGTATATATAGGTTTATAACAGATCAAGTCTCTTTTCCTAGGCTGGGGCAGAGAAGAGGAATTGAATCAGCCGAACAGAACCATCTGGTTCTCCTTAGTTGATGTCTATCTGCAATGTTATCTGAGGTCTCTGATCCCCCAACTCCTAGTGAGGAAGAGTTTTCCTCACTACTACTTCTATTTATTTACTAAAATTCTCCTTCTTCTATGTTGCCAGTTAATAATATTTCTGCTTACTGCTATAAAGCTTATTTTTAAAAAATACATAAAAATATAAACTGTAAGGAAGGAGTCAAACATAAGGACAGAGATAAAAATAAAGGAAAATATTTCTGTAATTAAAATTAATATTCAGTTCCTTTTTATTTAAGCCTTAAGCTGGAAACTTTTTCCATACCAGTTTAGAGTAAATACTATTATTACTAAGCAGCCCATGCTAAATAGCGTACTTTTCTTGGTGTAGATTTCTGGAGGGATATGCAAGGGATTTGCATGCTTAATTCCCATTAGCACCTGTCACTGGGATTTATTATCCCAGAGTTAATTCTCCACTCACTGCAGCCAAGAAAAAGGAAGCCCTTGTATGGATTTAAATAAAGCTTTTTAGTTTTCAAAATGAGATGAATTTTACGTCAGTTTCTTAAACATCTGCATTATTCCAACCCTAAACATTCATATTCAAATAAAATTTTGGTGGAAATTCATCCAAATTTGATTTTATTCAACAATCAAAAAAAAAGACTACTCATAATTTGAAAACATATTGGAGGTTGATAGTAATCAAGGACTTAGCTCAGTTTTAAAATCCACTGACTCTTACTCATGTAATTCAATATTCAATAAATGTTTATTGACCATCTATCATGTGCTAGGCTATGTTCTAGATTTATGGGTACAGCATGCTGAACTCACTACAAAAAAAAAAAAAAAAAAACCTCCCCTTGAGAAGCATGTATTTTACTGGAGAATATTTGTACATATACCTGTAGGTATGCATACATGTATACAGGTAGATACATGTATAGAGATATAAACTAAGTGCTATATGGAAAATCATAGTAGGTGAATACAATTGAAGCAATGTGTTGTTTCTATTTTAGGTAAATGGGTCAGAAAAGTCATCCCTAGGCAGTGATATTTGAGTCCAGATCCAAGTGATGTTAAGAAGTCTATACTCAGGAACCTATAAATGATACTTTATCTCTTTCATGAAAAAAAAAAGTGTGACAGACAAGAAAACTAGGCAGAATATTGATACACAGGCAAGTCCCATCTGTAACCAACAAGAGCAGAAAACTTGTCTGTGCAGCTGATCTGCTGGTTAGAGCCTGCCTTCTCCTTGTTCTTGAGTTTTCCAGTCTCCCCTCCCTTTTCTACCTCTTCTCTATATATCATCTCTCAAGCCATTCTCCTGCCCTCTTTAGGCTGAATTCCAGTACTGAACTATGTTTTCCTTTCTTTTCTCTTACTCATTCTTTCAAGGAATTAATTTCATGCAGCATTTGCTATTGAGCCCTGTAATGCCCCAGACCAAACTATGTGATAATTCAACCTTCTTTAACTAGACTTCGAGGATTCTTCCCCATTGAGTCTTTTTGACAACCAATTAACTACTATTCATTGAATACCAATTATACATCAGATTCTACATTAGGAACTGGAGATAAAATGATGAACAAGATAAAGTGCCTACTTTAAAAGAGTTAAATAAACTCTTTTACAAGTAAGTTGTAAATTTAAAAATGAAAAATTTTACAACTTTTGGATGTTGTTAATATGGTAGTGAGTATGCACAGGGATTTCTTCCATACTATTTAAAATATAACCTCCTTGGAAAAATTGGTACAGGAATAAATGAAATATAATTATGATGTCATTCTCAAAAGGTTATTAATGGCCTAGCTGCATGGTAGGCACTGTTTACATGTGGCTATTTAAATTTAAATGAATTAATTGGACAAAAGTTAAAATTCCCATTCCACATTAGCCACAGTATAAGGGCTCAATAACCATATATGTTTAATGACTGTCATTTTGAAGAATATAGATACACACATGTTTCTTCCTACAGAAAGTCCTGTTGAACAGTACTGGTCTAGATAGCATGAAGATGATGGAAATCTTCCATTCATGATAATAGTAATTGGCAATAATTTTATGTGTGAGACATTATATACATATATGTAGGTGTGTGTGTGTGTATATATATATATATATATATATATATATATATATAGACATATATATTATATGTGTGTGTGTGTTTGTGTGTGTGTGTTTGACTTATTTAATCCCCACAAAAATGTAAATACTGCTACTAGACCCATTTTACAGATTAGGAAAAAGAGATGTCTAATCTTATTGCTCAATATCATTCAGGTAGCAAAACACTAAGAAATGAATCCACAGTCTGACAGTAGAGTCTATCTTCTTAACAAAGTATCATAACGTCTTGGTGTGGGACACTGAAGAGAATGAAGAAGAGATTTTACACTGACAGGCAGAGCCTCTATAGAAATAAGAAGTGGATATTTTTGTCAATATCTTTGGCAAGTATGACCTTTTTATGTCTATGAAATTTATCCAAAATAGGTCTTATGGACCAGAGGTTTAAATGGAGTCAGACATGCAGAATTCCAGAGTGTTAGAACTGAAAAGAACTGACATATTATATGGATGAAGAAACCAAGGCATGCAAAGATTATCTGACCTGCCCATCATAACAGTTAGGACCATAGTGAAAATTAGAGCTCAAGTTTCCAGTGTGTGTGTGTGTGTGTGTGTGCGTGCGCGCGCGCACGCGCGAGTGCAAGCATGTGTGTGTGTGCAAGCGTGTGTGTGTTTACACATGGCCCCCATTGGCATCCAGAACTTAACATTTCCCTGTATAGTATTTATTAGTTTAAAAATGAACTAATCTTGAGAAGATATTTTCTTCTTCCCAGAGTGTTGGCTACACCAGTGTAATTGATTTATTAATCCATTCACTTTCTTTTTGTCTAACCTTTCCTTATTTTACCCACCCATTCTTTCATTCCTCCTTCACCTTTACAACAGGAATTCACAACCTAACTACTAATTCTTTCTGAATCATAGCAGTTTTAGTCCTTACACATGCTGTTAGGAATTTGGAAAATATGTCATAGGTTCCAAATCACTTTAAGTGAGTATTCACAAATTTGCTTCTGCCTTTTTTTCTGGGAGAGCTCCTCCTGATATTGCCTCACCACCTTTTACATACTCCACCTTGCCAGCCACCAAGATGCACGCAAAGAAAGCACTATTGAAGGAGTTTTCGTTGAGCTTTTTAGTTTCTGTTCCACTGCAAAGAGGTCATAAGCTTTCAGAGCATAAAACAGTCTGAGTGCAGCTGACAACCCAAAGGGTGGGCTAGAACACTGCAGAAAGCTTCTTGCCTTCTTCTCCATCGCTGAGGACAAGTTCGAGCCAGCAGCCGACCTAATCAACCTTAAGACGCGAAGTCCCAGGGCGCGTCCAGTCCCAGGAAGTCTGGCTCGGGGTTTGCCGGCGTGGTGGAGAAGCTGGCAGGCAGCAGGCTGAGCTCCACTGGACACAGCCTAGTGGCCCGGGGCGCGCCCGCTGCGCTCTCAGAGTCCAAGTCTGGCGCACCGCAGGAGGCAGGAGCGCTCCCCCTAGCCGCGGCCGCTTCTGCCCCCAGGTGTCTCTCGCCCTGGCTCCAGTGAGTAAACCAACAGCAGTCTCCGCCTTCTCAACTAGGCGTGCATCTCTCCTTCCATCCTTGCTTACATAAGGCGGGCGGGCGCGCTCCCGCTGCCGCTTACCCCCAGCAGAGTTGGGCTGTGCCCTCCACGCCTTCTTGGCGCGGCAAGCGCCTCCGAGTACCCGTGCGTCCCACTCTAGGAGGTGACTCTTTGGCCACCCAGCACCGGCAATCGGGGCGTCTCTTCTCTTGCTCGAGACCACTGAGATTGGAGACGGGAGCGCCTCACCGTGCCCAAGCTTCTTCCGTCCGCTCCCTTCTCCTCCCACTTTCCCCACATTCCCCCACCCTCTGGTGCCTGTGTGTGTTCCTCACAGGCTAAGGGACCCGGAGAGCAGTCCATGCTCGGCGCACGGCGGAGCTGCGGCTGCTTCTGCCGCTGAGGGGAGCCGAGAAGGTGGCGGTCTTGCGCCTCCCTGGACTTCCCAAGTGGGGGCAGAGCAGTCGCTCGCGGGAGACGTCAGTTGGAAAGGCACAGGGAAACAGGAACCTTCAAACTCCTCCTCGGCGTCTCCTCTCCACCCCCTTTGGCCCCTGCCCTTGAAGAAAGTGGAGTGTGGCGTTTGGCTGTCGTTATTTCTTGGGACTGCTTCGCCGTGCACGGATTCAGCGGCTGCCCAGTGGGGCTCTCCGCTGTTTGCGCGTCTCTCGGTGTTGTTCCCTCCGGCACACCTCTATCGACGATGAGGAAAGGTCTGCGGGCGACAGCGGCCCGCTGCGGACTGGGACTAGGATACGTGCTGCAAATGCTCGTGCTACCTGCCCTGGCCCTGCTCAGCGCCAGCGGCACCGGCTCAGCCGCTCAAGGTAAGGGGGTCCGCCAGGCTAAGCGGCCACCTCCCTTCGCTTCTTCCTTCCCTCCTTCTACATCTCCTCTTCCCTAGTTCTTCTGGCTTCCTCAGTCTACCTCGTTGCTCTCAACTGGAGACCACTTTATATTCCACTTTCCCAACTAGTCAAGAAGCTTTGATTATTGCGATTTTTAATCTGTCTTCCGAAAGGGGCAAAGATGGACCAGGGACGCACGGGGTTTGGACAACGCATCCGTCTCTGTGCATGTGAGAGCCGGGGGTGTTTTGCACTTCCAGGTCCGCACGCGCACGTTGTTGCATAGTGTACACACAGAGGTTTGAAGAGACTCTCGGTACGGGTGGCTGTGTGGTTTGACATAGATGCACCCTGATGCGAATGGTGGGCAGAGGCTCCCCGCGCTGTGCGGTAGCTGGGGTTGCACAGCCTTCACTGCATCTCAGCTAAGGAAATGTGTCCATTACCGCTGAGGACCCAAAAGCGCTGGTGCCCCTTGGCTGCTGCTTGGGGCGCTGTGGAGAAACATAGCCCGGCCGGACTTGCGTTCCCAGCCAGAGGCAGGCCACTGGTGTGCCTGCCTCTGCACTCTTACCCTTTCGTATCTCCTTCCCACCAGGCGCCAGAGAAACTTAAAACCTCTGAGCTCTGGGGGAATAGGCTGGTTGTTCAATCCAAATCTGCAACTCCCCGAGGTAGCCAACCAGTTCATAACTCGCGACATTTTAATTTAATGCGTGTGAGATTTACAATAAGTGTCCGGAGCCTTGGGCAAAGCCAGGCTGGAAGGACAGCGGTTGGAAGTTGTGGGTGGATAAGGGAGGAGCGGAGACCCCGGGACTGGTCCCTTCACTCCCTTCTTGTTCCCGGAGTTTGAAGTGGTGGCGACAGCTCCCAGCCTTAAGGGGAAGAAAGAGCCAAAGTTGCCTTTACCAAAGTCTCTCAGGTCATCTGGGCCCCTAACCTACACTCCAACATAGTCCACTTAGATCTTTTCGCCCAGTTGGGTGGTGATAGCTGGCTTTGGAGAAGCAGAGCAGCTTTTTCTGAAAGCGGGTGGTGGTGATGTGGAAGGAAGCCTATTCAGCATTCAGAGGCAATTCAGGGATCTCCCCTACACACACACACACACACACACACACCACTCATACACATCTTGGTTATACTTCTTTCCAAATTTGGAGAGCTGGGGAAATCAAGGAGGTAGCCCCAATTCCCGGGTGATGCTCAGACACTGGATTTTCCCGTCTGCATTCCATCTGATCTGTGAGAAGCAAGAGGAGCTGGGGGCAAGGGAGGGGGAAGGTAGTGGTGGAGTGGAGTGCCTAGGCAAGGCGAGTGTGGTCCGGGTGGGGAGGTAAGTGATTAGCAAGGCTTTGTGAATTAGAGATAGCTACTTCGGGTGTAAATTTTCCTGCTGCCCTGCTAAGTGGCCGCGCTCATAAATCCTTCCTTCCTTTTCTCGCCAGATGCCTCCCATCCCCGAGGTTCTGCTCGGGTTTTCTTATGCATACCTCCAGAGCTCATCTATCTATTTTACCATGGAATCTCCATTGGGAATCATATGGTTCTTGTTATAGATTTCTTGAAATTGGTAAGAAGTTCTCAGGGCGGTAGCCCAGGATACTTAGAGGAAGGTATTTGGAAGCTTAAGTGAGCAACCTGATGAATAGATGTGGAATCAACCGCGTGACTCCCTATGGAATTCGCCTGCTGTTATTGGGCGCACAAAGGACTGAGCCATGGGGGTGGCCAGGCATGGGACATGGTGAGAGAACTGTTTGGGGAAAGGACAAGTTAAAGTCTCCAAAGATGCCAAAAGGAGATAGGATGCCTGCTGAGAGCTTACAACAGTCCAATTAAAAAGACTGGGAAGAAAAGGGATCAATAAAGATAATCAAACAGGACATAGTAAATGGATTGATATTGAAAGAAGAAAGGAGAAGAGATTAAAAGAAAAGACACTCAAGATACACTTGAGTGTTTTCCTCTTGCACTTTTTCTTCTTATAGACCAGGCAATTCAAGAGTTATTTTGATCTTAACTCGAAAAAGAAAGTGTATTCTGTGGTGTGTATACATTTCTATGCACAGTTCTCCATTTACTTCATTTAATTCTTTCAGTTTCCAGTGATTTTTTTTTCTTAAATTATGTGTCCTGTGAAATGCTTCCACAACCACTTTTATGATTGTTATTCTCCATGTTCCAGGACATCAGCTCTTCCTGTGTTCTGTTAGGTATCAAAAGAAACAGAAAGCACCAAACTCTTCCATAAGCTACTGTCCCCATCACTGCTACCTATTATCCCAGCCAATTTAATGTTGAACCATCATTAACACTTCCCTTTCAGAATCACATATTTACAGTGGGCTGGCAGTCAGACATCCATTTCCTTCAATATTTCTCAGGTCTACTCATTTTGCATTAGAACAGCCCATGCCCTCAAGCTATGATTTCCTTGTTCTATGAGTTAAAGACTGGAGTGGAGTATTTTTATGAATGTGCAATTAAAATAGAACAGTTCATTTAAGTACTTTACCAAAAAAACATTAAATTTTTGATCCATTGTTGTAGAAGTGCTGGAAAAAATTAGAAGCTTTGGAAAATATATGTCTCTTTGGAGATAGCCAAGGAAAAAACAGGTCTTTCAGAGCAAAACAGAGTGGATGTTATTTGTGAGTGCACTGAGTTTGTAACTGTGGTTTAAAGACCGACAGCAGTCATTTTAAACAGGTCCTTGGGAAATTCTCTAGGCTTTAGGCAACAACTTTCTTCTTTCCTGCTATGCTCTAATTGTTTCATTCAGGATTGCTGGGAACTCCTAGCTCCAGGGAATTTGCCGTGCTTCTGATTCCAAGAATGAAAGATTTTACTAGTAAAGGCAGCCCAGTGAGTGAAAGTATGGATGTGTGTGTGTGTGTGTGTGTGTGTTTCTGATTTGTGTAATTCTGAATTAGTGCCCTCCTGTTGTATAAATGCATTTTATCTAGGCTACACAGTATTGATGTGCTGCTTATCTAGCACCAACTAGTGTTATGTTCGGAGTGTTAACACCTCCGAACTCAGAATTGAAAATTACTAAAGATTCAAAACAGATTGGAATAATTCTCTGTTATCTTAATTTATGGTGTTTTTAAAAACCCACAAATATTACACTTCTTCCAATGAAAGAATACTTTCATGCATATTGGTGTGGAACAAATTGACAACTGGTGTTGAAAACAACTGAGTTTCATTACAATTCTACCATATATTTTTCCATTCTAGGGGCAGATTCATGAATTCACTTTGGAAATTTTCAATAAGAGAAAGTATGTTAGTTTATCTTTGTTTAGAAAAATAATTTTATGTGTTATGGCTTAGAAAGTGCTTAACTGTCTTCAGGGAACAAACTTTTTAAGCATTTGCAATAAATGAGAAATCATTAGATCATAATAGACATGTGCATGCCCTGGTCTTCTGTTTTCTGGATATGGAGGATTTGAATTTAAACAAGACAGGTTCTTTGGAGTATCTACTATTGGACTTTGGGAACTGCTTTTAATCAAAATTTATACTGATCTAGTTTTAGCAAACCCTTAATGATAGGAAGGAGGCATCAGCTCCATTAGGCAAACCCTGTTAGCTTATTTAGAATTATTGTTGAGACATAAATATAACTGTTCTCTAATGTATGCTAGTGTCTCCAATTAGTGCAAACAGCAAGAGTATGCTCTATTAGGCCTTAACTGCATTTAGCACTTCTCTGATTCAGGTCATGGCTTTGCTGGAGCAGCAGAGGGAGTCACTCTCAGAAGAAACATTAACATTACAGGCTGCAACCACTTCCGGAGAAGAGTAGGGAAAATGGTGGGAGTGGAGACTGAGCCAGTGCTCCTGCCTTGCAGCTTTGGCCTACATCTTTTTTTAGTTTGACTTTTGTACTTGTGGCAGTTAAAAACAATCCCATTCACATGTTCCCACACATTAAAAACTTATTAGCTCCTTTGACTTGAATATAGTATAAGAGGTACTTCTCATAACATTTTTCTCCCAGACAATGTGCTGTTCCTTAGGAACATAGAGTTGAATGAGACCTCAAGAAGATGGGCTTACAAATATATAGTACAATTCACTTGCAAGAATAATTCACTTTCTGAAATATAACAGTAGTCACAGGCATAGTATTTTCTGGATTTAGATATCTGAGATAGTAAACATAGGTTAGGCCAGGATTCTGATTTGATTGGTGGTGGGAATTCCAAAGTTTCTACTTAGAGAAACTCAAGGGGGTGATTTAGATGGAAGCAATTTTCTTAAAGTTGTTTACATCTTAACAGTATGTTCCTTAGATTTCATATGTATTTCGTCCTGCTTTGGGGAGGGACCAGCTAAGGGCTATGTGTAGTGTATACCCATTTTATCAGTTAGCAAAGTGGTTACCAGTGCTTTATAATCCTGCTTCTAAGCTTCCTAGCTGTGTGACCATGGATCAGATATTTAGCCTCTCTGTGCTTTAGTTTCCTCACATGTAGAATGAGAACCATATATGCTATACGTCAGACTAGGATTGAATGAATTGATACATATGAAGCAGCTAGAGCAGTGTTTAACTCACAGAAAGTAAATATGATTCCTTGGCTTCCAACTCTAAAACACCAGCAAAGCCCAAGATGTTAAAGGAATTAAAGACCAATAATTTTGAAACTTAAAATGAGAATAACTGTGGGAGCTGCTTTTCCAAAAGTAAGAAATGGAGTTGTCTAAGGAGACACTCCAAAATAGATCACTGCAGACTTCTAAACAGGATCAAATTCTTTGGACAACCTGTGGGTGTCTCACTCTATTTCTTAGCCTCTTTTCTTCCTTTCTATATTCTCTGGGAAAAATGAACCCACTAGCAGTTCTAAACAAGCACATGTCATGTCACTGCCAGTTAAGTCCTGGCAACAGTCTCTACCCTTGACTTTGTATCTTTACAAGAAATATTTAAGACGAGTCTTCAATAAATCTATAAAAAA